ATAGCATAGACAAAAGGGTGAGAAATAAGGGTGTCTGTGTGCATGTGCATGTGTGCTGGGGGGAGGACGAGATAGCCAAGTATGAGGGAAATGCCTGCAGGTTTACTTGTTTCCACTGGCAGATGCTGCCTAAACCATGTCTCCTCCTGTCCACGTAAGACATGTTGGTTTTTTGAAAACGTGAGCAGGGGTGAAATCTCCCGTCCGCGGGCACGGCAACAGCCCCACGTGAATTCAGTTCCCGTGACGTTCTGGAAATTGGCGCCGGTCACTTTTTATCTGCCTTCACCCCTTTCACTGTGTATTTGTTTTGCTACTTCCTTCCCTGACAGATTCAGGTCTTCTAGGGAAAAGCTCCTTAGGTTAGTGTGTAATGGCTTCTAGAAGAGTTCTCTTGTCTCGAAAAATCTAATTGTCTTAACAAGTCCATGTTTTATAATATTGTATTATTAAGAAGTATGCATTTTACAGTTAATTTTTTCTCAGCTTCCAAGGGGGCTTTTCATCTCAGATGTTAAGAAGCAGGACTAGAAAGAAGGGAACTAAAACAGAGGCAGGAAAAAAGAAAAAAAAAAAACCCACAAGATTTAATTTAAAAAAAAATGCGGGGCAAATGTAATTTCTTTCCTGCGTAATTTATATTAAAACTTATCAGCTGCTGATAGGATAAACAGCCCAAGATAGTTTCTGCTTGGCTTATACTTTCATCATAGGTATATCTGCTCAAGTATAATGTAACAGTTTTCTATCTAAAGGTAAAACATTCAAGATGCCTGGGTGGCTCAGTTAGTTAAGCGTCTGCCTTTGGCTCAGGTCATGATCCCAGGGTCCTGGGATGGAGTCCCACGTGGGGCTCCCTGCTCTGCAGGGAGCCTGCTTCTCTTTCCCCCTGCTTGTGCTGTCTGTCTCACTCTCGGACAAATAAAATCGTTAAAAGAAAAAAAAAAAGGTAAAATACTTCAATTCCTTGGCAAGCTAAAAATGAACGCCTAAAAATCTGTAAACCTGCATTTATGTATTTTTGTCCATAAAAGGTAGTTCTCAAAATCAAAACCAAAATATTTACAAAGGTATCATGTGCACGTTACACATTTTCTTTGCAAACTGAAAAATGAAATTTCAAAGCTGGTAATAACCGATTTCTTTCAAAATGTCTCAGCTGAAACATAAAGGCACAAACTATGGATACAACTTGCATGGATCTTAAAGGTGATAAGCCTGAGTGAAAAAGCCAGTGGAAAAGGTACAGAACAGTTCCATGTACCTAGCATTCTCAAAGTAACAAAATTATAGAGATGGAGAAGAGATGAATCAGGGACTAGGGAAGGGGAGGGGGTCCCTGCATGGCGGCAGCCGGAGGGAGTTTCTTTGTGGTGGTGGGAGTTTTTTATCTTGATTGTGGTGGTGATGGTATGAACCTAGACATGATAAATGTCATGATAAAATATCACAGAATTATCCACAAAAACATATGCAGGAACAATGACTGCATTCAAAACCTGGCCAAATCCAAGCAAGTCCTGAATTCTAGTTAACTGTAGGTAGTGTGTCAATGTCAGTGTCCTGATTTGGGCCAAGTATTATAGTTATGTAAGATGTTACCTTTGGGGGAGACTGGGTGATGGGGACGCAGGATCTCTCTGTATTATGATTGCAGCTTATGGGTCTATAATTATTTCAAAATATAAAGTTAGAAACAAATCCCTCTGCTGAAGAAAAGATTCCAGCTACTAATTAAACATACTTAGGAAGCAATTTAGTCAAAGACTGGTCTCCTTTCAGGAGGCAGGCCTCTAAGACAGAACACAGAAGATTCTTGATTTAGCATATGCTTAGTATCCAGTTCTGCAAGTCTCACACTGTGTAACTTGAAGCGATTACTGTTCCTGTGGGCTTCTATTAAAGTAGTAGAATCAGGAAATTTTAGAGTGAGCAGAAATCTTACAGAGAATGTAGGTCAGACTTTCAGGTTACACCTCTGGGTTTTGGTATCCTCATTTGTAATAGGAGGGCTTTGTCCTAGATTCTTTGTTAGCGTCCTCCATAGTTCTAAATTTTAGAACCCACCACTTCACAATAGAAACTACGGAAACTTTAAGGGCGAACTGATAAATTCTGCCTCAATGTTTATTGCATGAGACAAATGTCTCCATTTATGTCGACTGCCAATGTGGATCCACAAGCAAGTAATGCTCTCTCAACAACCAAGACCAGGCTTACTCATGTTACCACTTTTCTTCATGGAGTGCTAAAAACTGATTTCCCTGGGGAAACTGAGCCCACTGTAAAACCAGGCTCAGAAGCCCCCAGGGCTGTCCGACCTGGTGATAGTATGCGTATGCAACAAAAGGATCTTAATTTAACAGCAATTACACTTTGTCTTGTGGTACTGATTTCCCCTAAGTCTGTAACAATTTAAGTCATAGTCTTACAAAAACAAAGCAAACACAAAACCAGTACCTCACAGCATTAGTGTCATCATTTTATTAACAAAAGGAACCCATGGGGTTCAAACCAGAATACAAAATACAATCTTTATTTTTTTTCCTGTGGGCTAAACTTACATTTTTAATAATAAAAATAAAAAAGCTTTCATAGTTAACTTATCAAAAACAAAACCCCTGCCTATTGAGTTTCTTATTGTGCAAAAGAAAAACATAAAAATTAAAGTTCTGCCCATGGAAGGATTTTGTGTGCCAAAAGATGCACATTTTCAATTTCAAAAATTTTTGCATCAAAAAGAAAATTCTAAGGCCACAGTTTCTTTGCAAACTAAACAACAGAATAACAAGCAAATAGCAGCTAAATTTTCATCTTCATTCCCAAGAATTCTGTTGCAATGTAGAATTTTCTACATTCATAGAATAATTTGATTATAAAAAGGTATGCAGTTTCAACCTACTACTTAAGGTCAGATATACTGATACCAATTTGATAAGGCAAATCATACCTTTTAGCTACTCTTATTTTAAGTGCTACAAAATCAGCTTTGCTTTAATTTTGTTAAGCACATTTCACGATGTCTCTGTTACAGGTGATAAAACATCCTAGTGAAGGATTCCACTGAGTAGTTGGAAGCCAACTACTTGGCTTTCTACATGGGGCCAAAACTAAACTTTCTTCCTTCATACCATTTTCCTTAGCTTCTTTCACTTTATTTTGGTATCATGGAGATGGACAATGTCTTGACAAGGCATATAAACTACAACTTAGAAGTCAAGAAACAGCTGAAGAGGATCTTTTTTTCTAGAGTAAGAACAACACTGTTCAGATAACACTTAAATACACATACCTCTTTAAAAATACACAAAGACAAAGAAAAATAAAAAAAAATAAAAGCACTAAAAACCAAAGCAAGGAATAAAGTTCTGCGACAATTTCAGTACCACAATTATTGGTGTAACAGTTTTGCACTGTGATTTTAAATAGTGGCTTACAATGAAAAAAATTGCTTAACATGCTTACGTGATTACAGAGAGAGGTGCGTCCAGAAGGGGGAGAAGGATACATTTACCTAATGCATGTAGAAAAAAATCCCTGATCAGATGGCCAACTAATTTCTAAATACAAAACTTAACCTTAGAAGAACTTTGATACTTGTCACTGAATATACTGATTGAAAGAAAAACTATTCGCTCTGGTGAAAGAAGTACGGCATTCTGCATGGGAAGCACCAGGGTTTCTAGGTTGAACCTGTAGGACATGGAGAAAACCAAAGTACTCGGCTGGTCCAAAACCTCTATCGTGGAAATCCCTCCTTCCTTTCTACTGAGGGTCCAGGAATGCTCTCAGCTCATGAAACCAACAGACGAAAGGAAAAGCAAGGGACCATGTGACCAATAACAGAAGGGGAGAGGGGGAAAGTCAAAACACTGCTCAGACTTCTAGCAGCAACACAATCTTGTTGGTCGGAATATCCTGAGATTAAATGATAACAAAAATATTGCACCAAAACGATAAAGAAAAAAAAAATCACAGTTTAAATAGAATTACTAAAGAATTGGAATTGGAATAGTACACACAGCGCCGTGACTGCCGTCAGTGGACTTCGGTCTCGGCAGGAATTCAGTTTGTCCTTTTTAAAAACCACGGTTGTCTGTACCCTCTTTTGATTTTGCATTTATTTTGAAATACCCTTTGGTAGGCATATATTAACTTTCATCTAACGCTAGCCTTATAGATTTTTCCTTTGGTCCACCTGCAGATTTAGTGATAAGTCAGAGGAGATTGCTACTGCCAATTAGCAGAAACTCCACACAAGGCTTATCAGGCCTCGAGTTTTCAAAGGATTCTGATAACACCACTAGAGGTAGGTTAGGTAAGACTTGTTGTTTTGTTTTTTTTTTTTGTATTTTTTTCTGTGTAGTTAACAAGGCAGCCTGAGGATGCAACCTTTTTTTTTTTTTTTCTTCCCCTTTCTTTTTCTACTGTGATCCTAGGTAAATAAGACACGGGGAAAATCAAACGCATATCCTAACAAAGTACTTAAATGGGGTAAGAAGTATAGGCTTCAACCAAACGTGTTCTCATACTGATCCCCTCTGAACTGACATGCCTTGCAAGGAACTCTTTTCTTGGTTTCTTAATACTGTAGAGCCAGTTTATACGGTGGAACTGCGTTACTTCATTAGGACCTCACTGAAAGGTTCTTTCGAGGACGTCAGTCCGATGGGACACGGTAAGAAACCACGAAGGCCCTCACACCTGATACTTAGAGTGGGCCTTTCCTATTCGTGCATGCCTCTGTGCTGCTACCCTCTTCAAAAGCAAGGCTCCCAGTGAGTCTACATTTCTTTAAAGCTCAGGGTAACTTCTGTTCCACCTGGAGAAACCTCTGTAAAGTGACACTCACAGAGCATTTCCACTCTCCACACAGGGTCCGTTCTCTGGGGCCAAGCGCTGGCAGCCCCTTCACTTACTCTATCACCATCAGGACTTCCGGGACGTTCTTCTCACGTGCCTTTTCACATCTGCTTCACTGGATTATTTAAAGGGGACGCATGACCGTATCATCAACTTGTGCAATGATCCCGTCGGCCCACTGGGAAGTTCACATGTTCTTTAATTTCTATCACCTTCAATCTGGATGTTCATTTATGTTCTTACACGCCTTTTCTCTCCCTCTTTTCCAAAAAGGCAGGGGGAAAGGAACTGTTTTCTAATTTGATGATGAACACAGTGATTTCTGACATTTGTTCAGAGAATGAAGGAAACAGGCTGGGTCTCTTCTACATCAGGAGGATATGGATCAACCTGCAAAAAAAGAGCAGACCAGGATTACTATTCCAGCACCCTATAAATAATCTTAGTATCTATTTCTAATTATATGGTGGTTAGAAGCCAAGCTGCTATGAGCTTATTAAGAAGTCCCAGTGGGTCACTTAAGTGCTCTGTACTCCACGGCCACATAAAACAATTTAAAGGCGATCCATGGTACTCTACGGGCATGCTATCGTTTACAAGGAAAATATTACAAAAGGAGGTAATTGGATCAGTGCCAGTTTATCACCAGAAAAATTTTTTAAATATGTATCCCCTACTACTTAGGAATCAGCAACAGATACTTACCAAGGGATTATTTCCAGACAGCAACCTAAAAGTCTTATTTTCTTTCGTTTTGCTTACCTCTGAATAAAGAGGCGGAGGGTGAAACCGGAATTCCTGTATGCAGGCGAACATGGGACAGCATGCTTCCCCCTCACAGTTAGGGGGCTGAGGGTAAGGAGGCACATGTCTAGAGAATTCCTCCTCTGACACCACGTCTGCGTAATTTGGTGGTGCTGGGACAAAAACAGAGTTGGGTCTCAGAAGTCCATGCGAAAATTCATTACATTCTTCCAAACTCTTACCAAAACAAGAAATTTAGATGAATTTGAAAACAATGTTTTTCTCCCCCCTCTAATGAGCAAGTTTTTGTGCCCATCATGACAACACATACTTAACTGATCCTTCTGTTGTGAAATCACTACTAACAGTTATTGCATTCTCCTCTTTTGAGATGGAGACTTCCTTCTGGCTCTGCAGCCAGCAGCTCTGTGCCCCGGCTAAGCTAGGCTCCCACAGTCCCTGCCAGGAAGGCGGTGTTATGATTTCCAGGGCTCAGAAGAGTCAGGATAGCTGCGGAGGCGGGAGTCATCGGCATCTGAGCACCTGCTGTCTTACACTGCCCTCGGGTACCCTATGTGTGAAACTCCCCGCGGAGGGAACCTCCATGCCTCATACCTTCGGGCTGCTCTGGCAGGGTCAGCGTCAGCCAGCTCAGATCCATACTGAACTGGCTGGCAATGCTGGAGTTTCTGCTGCCAAAACCATGGTATGGAATCGTGCCAATCACTAAGGGCAGCTCGAGCATCAATTTTTTAGCACCAGGAATGTGAATGTACACCTAATATGTCAAAAAAAGAAAAGAAAAAAAGAAAAGAGAGAGAGGGAGGCAAAAATATAAATTAAACCTCCAAATTATTTTTTCACAGAAACAAGTATCTTTGTTGCCTACCACCACTTCTCCAATAGAACTGTAAAGGATCCTGACCAAATAAAATGGAAGAACAAACCAAATTAAGAGCCCAGGAAATACACTGAATGCTCTGTGATGGGGACCTGTAGCCTTAACATACTTCCCTGTAACCAAGCACGGCTTACATAATCATGATAAAAAATGAAGTCTATGTTTTCAATATAACAAACACCCCTTAACTGCATGTTAGTTAATTCGATTCCTTAGGGGGACGGTTTTTGATTAAGAACAAAGGCCAATCTTCACCATTCCAGGGTCTGCCGTGATGCTGACGTACAAGGACGTTTTCCCAGGTATTAAATGTACATATTCGTGGTAACATGGCATGGTTATTACTCCATTCTACATATTTTTCATTTTAAGAAGATCTCCGCTTACAGCTAAGGAATAGTCTATTCTGATAATGCAGCAATCCAGGATGGACGGGGTAACAGGTGGGATTTTGAGAGTCTTCCCATTCCACGTGTCAGTGCCCCCAGATGCAATGTGGTTTCCTCGTACGTTGGCCACCATGTGCCGGACGGTCTTTGTTCTCCCACTCGCCAAGTATGTCTGGGTTTGGAAAATAGCAGCTTTGGGAACAATCAGCCGAGAGGAACAATTCTCTATCTCTGCATAGATTGGAATGTCTTCTCCTATAAAGAGAACAAAAACACCTTCAGAGACTTTTCAGGAAGTTCTCACCACGGTGGAAGAGAGTCGCTAACCAATTAAAACAAAACTTGCCTTGTGACTTTAACAAATTGAGAACTTTGATGGAAAACTTGCATTGTGAACCTGTGTCAGAGATCTGAGAATTCACTGCAGGTCACAGTAGATACTGGCTTCTAATTACTGCATTATTTGCTTTTCTAATGTAGCAGTATTAGGTTGCCAGTTCTAAACATATGTAAATAACAAGTATCTATAAAAATTAAGATAAGACATACAAATAAATGGCCCAGTACTACGTTAAGTACAAAAGATCACTAACAAACTCGTTAATGCCCATCAAATTAAAATCTGCCCAACAGAACAAAGACATCGCTTTTAAGGAGCCGATGTGAAGCCATAAATGAAACAACGGATGGAGCAGACGACTTTCCCGACCGCGTTACGTGTCCGCTGTTCCGCCATCTGAACCACATTCATTTCCAATGAGCCGGAACCCTGGAGTGGGGGCCAAACCCACTGGACGGAATCAGATCCTTCACAAACGGTTGCTCCAACATCAATCTGACTGTTCAGGCTGTTCATGTTCTACACTCTACCCCCCTGTGTTTGGGTACATATCCCCAGCACAGGGTCAGAACGCCTGACAGAGCTTCCTGCTGCAATAGCACTCTTCTTTTTTTTTTTTTTTTTTAAAGATTTTATTTATTTATTTGACAAAGAGAGACACAGCGAGAGAGGGAACACAAGCAGGGGGAGTGGGAGAGGGAGAAGCAGGCTTCCCGCCGAGCAGGGAGCCCGATGCGGGGCTCGACCCCAGGACCCTGGGATCATGACCTGAGCCGAAGGCAGACGCTTAACGACTGAGCCACCCAGGCGCCCCTTGCAATAGCGCTCTTCTGAGCTACGCTGCTCCTGACATTCTTTGGCAACATCAAGTAAAATGCTGGCATTTTCCCCACTTTCCCAGTGCTAGTCTTTGTTACTGAAGTGAAAGGACCGAAGTCAGAAACACCAGAAGTTTTACTGGACTCTACTGATCCACTCAAAAATACGTGCATATCCATAATTTATATGAAAAACCTATTATCCACATTTTAAAACAGTATGTACCTCGTGAATTACAAAACACACCTATTTAAAATCACTTAAAAGTAGCTAATAAAATGCATGACTCCTCCATTTGGACTTTCAAGCATTTTGCTTACCATTACAGTATCCTTTTCTTTCGATTTTGGCACTCAGTGAGACAGGACCAGACGTGAAAAACCAACAGCCAACCATTTTCTCTTGAGTTTTCAATACAGGGGTCTTGAAAATTTCAAGAAATAACATGACTTTAATTAAACCAGTAGAAAACTCACAGAACTTAAAATTACATCGTTCTTTATTAAACAGTTGTGAAGAAATGCCTTTCAGAAAACAAATCAACTTTTTATCCTCACGTGACGTATTAGGCAAATACTTGCTGAAATATAAAGCATTGAGAAAACAAGTCATTCTCTTTTTAGGAAAACTAAGATGAATTGTCAGACTCAAATTAGGTGACACCATCCTATTTTATCCTATAATCATTTCTGGGAAACGATATACCTTCCCTTAAGGTAATAATAAAAAATTACAGTAGTAACTAGTAACATGACAGAGATTTTTTTTTTCTTTTAAAGACTTTACGTGTAGATTAGGTAAAAAAAAGAAATGGCATAAAAATCAATAATCAAAATCTTCTATTTGTTTTGGCATCTAAAATGTAGAAGAAACAAATAGCCTTTTTTTCCTGAATTCAAAAATGCATGATTAGGCAGAAATTTCAAGCGCCCTCAAGTGAGACTGGTTTTGGGTTCTGTGTGGCAGCAGCACAACACACCCAATGTAATGGATCCACAAGGTTACCGAACAGACCACCCCACCTTCTCTTCTACGGCATCAAGAGAAAGGACACAAGACTTAAAATGCTCAGTTTTTAAAAGATGCACAACCCAAAAGCTCATAGTAAAACCCAAAGCTGCAATAGTTTTTTTACTTATAAAAAGAACATTAAAGGATTAATAGTTTTTCTTTTTGGCAAAAAAATAAAATCTCCTTAAACCATTTGCCACAATGGTCCCATAAATAGCTTAGAAATAACCAAGTTCCCAATTCTAAGTAGTTTTTAAAAGTACAAGACAGTATTGTCAGTTTGCAGAAACAAAACAAAACAAAAAGACAAAAAACCAAAGAAACCCAAGGTGTGAAGTGGACGGTAACTTCTGGCCGTAATGGGAGCTTTCAGCCTGCTCAGCTGGGTGTGGGCTGTTCTAGGATTTTGGCCACAAGGGGTCCTGCAGCCAGAGCATAATTATTGTATTGTCACCCTCCAAAAGTGAACGTTAGAGAGAAGTCCATTCCATTCTCCAATGAAAATAGGGTGAAATACCTTTTAGCTCCTGTTTTTTCCCCTTATCTTTAAAAACATTGGCTAGAAAAAGAAACCCCCCAATACTAAACATACATCTTTGGAACACCCGTATCATGATGGAAAGTTCAAATTATCCCAGTATTTTCTATGAAGTAAAAAAAATCATTCATTCATATTTAAATGAAGAACCATTAGGTCCTCACAGCTATCATGAAAGTACAAGGTATAATTTTATATTATTTTGATAATATGGGTTTAGATAAAAGAATCTAGCTCATTAGCTCCCATCCTGCCTATTCTGTTGTTACTTATAGCCTAATCTTTCTTATCAGCCTACAGTATTTCTGGTGATTATTAGAAGTTCAATGCTTTAATGTGGCCAAATCTGTCATAAGGAAATGATAAGAGAAAGGCTCTCCACAGCAGCTGCACGCACTTACTTAATGTTAGAAAATGACATGCAAAATGGAAGGATACATAGCATAATGGCCTGAGCCTCAATAACAGGCTGAGCATGATTAATACTCTTCCGTAATTACTGTTCCTCAACCTGCTATTATTGAAGAGTTTAGAATACCACAGCCCCGTGAATGTGGCCGCTCTGGTAAAAGTAACCACTCTCTGTGTGAGCATTATTATTATTATGCCTTATTAATGCATTTCAAGCCTGTATAACTTTTTGGCAAAAGCAGGCCTGAACAATAGAGACATAATCAATAGTATTAACACAGACAATTTGTAATTTGCCCAACCTAGAATCACACATTTATAGTGAAGGCCCACGGGTTACAAGATTGTATGAGAAAGTGACAGGACCGACTAGCACCACACTGGACGGGTGTATACAGCCCTAGTGAAGGGAAGGGGGAAGTGGGGGGAGGGGAAGGAGGAGGAGGAAGAACTTACTAATAATGCTGGTGTGTTGACATCAATGTGACTAACAACCTGAAGCTCCCGCTTCACACTCTGATCAGGTACCTTGGGTCGTTCCAAAACTGCCCGCACACAGTACTGAATACTTCCGTATTTCCCAGTGAACGAGGTTACTAAAGGTCTGAAACGAACCGAAGAGGTTAATTGAGAAGTTTATCTTTCAGTGAAACACTACTGGAAAAAAAACCAAAAACCCTTAAAGTGTTGGTTTGGGTTAAAAAAAATAAAAAGAATGTGAACAGGGTAAGTCTATTGAGGAGCTATTCAAGATCAATGGGCATAACTGAGTCTCAGAAGATACTTGGTACCCTCACCTCGGGAAAGACATATTGCAGAGAAAGGAAATCACAAAAGTAGTATCGTTTCACTTACTCAGATGGAAGTTGAAAGCTAAATGGAAATTCATGTTTTCCTGGCTGTAATAAGAGGATGCCTTCACCTAAAAAAAGAAAATACACTTTAACTAAGGTCATATTAGATCAAGAATTTTCACAACGTAATCCTATTTTTTTAAAAGGAGATTTCCCTGGCTATAGCATCCAGGATACTCCAAAAAGTACATTAATCTCTAAGATTTAGAGAATTAGAATTTGAAGCAGTTTCTATCAAGTTTCATCAATTTCAAATCACATATATACACATAGTTTCTATCTTTAAAGAGACCAATCACGCAAGTAATTACCATAAAGTGTCAGAGCCCAGAGTTCTCATGTACACACACATGTACACACGTGTATATGCATACATACAAGTATACATATAACGTGTGTCCATGTACACACACACATTTGTTCGCCCCACTCATAAACTAGCACCAGTGTCCCAACATTATATTATAAACATACACCAATGCTACTACACTAACATTATAGGATACTATTATCCTAATATGAGATACCAATATTAAATTGGACTTAAAACTGATTTAGCAAAAAATACATCTATTTATTTTGGGTATACCATAAAAATCAGATTCTGTATTCCTTGGGCAAAAATGGAAAAAGGTGAAAAATTTCCTTGGAATATTGTGAAGATTGAGTATAATAATACCTAACAGGACAACTTATGAGGTACGAGTCATGCATTTACACTTAAGCTCTACCAATTAATAGGTGGCTAGTTAATTGGTGGTTAAGTCAGAATATAGAGCGGGGTCTGCCTAGCACAGCCATGACTCCTCCCTCCTGCTCTGGGTTCTGGGTCAGCCAGCTCGGTTTTATCCCCCACAGAGGCCGAGATGCAGGGTGCAGATGGACCGTGTGAGGCCACGGGCGCTGCGGGAGCTGCCATGAACACACAAACAACCGGCATCATTCAGATCCAAAGCCAATTCCAGGGCTGTCATGTGGCTTAGACAGCTCTGCAGAGATGCTTAGAAACTTCCCCTTCACTTTATGCTCATTGATTCAAGTTCAGAACTAAACCCTCTCATCAAGGGTGGCACAATTCAGATGAAGGAAGTGCAGCACTGATGAGAACTTTCTTCAAGATTTGCCTGGTCAGTTGATACTAAAAACAGAGATTTCTACTGTATCCATTCATTAAAAAAAAAGAGAGACATTTAAAGGGCTAGTAAAATGGAATAGTTTTTCACTTACTAGAAACAAGTTAACATCTCAACCTTGTCCTTTCAGAAAACAGGAATGCATTATTGGCCCATTTAGTCTTCTGAATCTATCCCCAATTTTCAGCGTGTAATATATTACGGGCAAAAATGACTGAAGGTCATTCAAACAGAAATACAACACAGGTGGGTGACTTGGAGGTGAAGTGAACAAGTGACAGGGGCAAGAGGCCATGTTCAGTCACCGTGATGGAGGCAGTCCAAGGGCTCAGGTGTGCCCAGAGCTGCCCTCCCTGTAAGGCTCAGCACTTACAGCCGTGCTATCAAGTAAAAGGCTCAAGGCAATCCCAATGCTTCTGAGAGAGCTGGACTTAAATTCTAAGTTGTAATCCTTAGACTACTGAACAGGACAATCTATGTACTTTACAATGTTTAAAAATGTGGATTTCATGTGAGTTCAAACCGTACAGTGCTTAGACGTCAGGCCCCGTGGATACAAAGATGAGTAATGCCAATCCTCAGATAGACCATGGGAGGCGGGGGGGCTACAGACACATGCATGCAAGTAATGAGCACAGAGTGCAGGAGCCCGTGGAGAGCATGGTGCCTGCTCTGGACCTGAGGGCCCGCACGGAGATGTGGAGGAGGCGGTTTGAGAGGAAGGGAACAGCATGAGGCTGGGCACGGTGGGCATGTGTGGGGAAGTTACTCGGGATACTGAGAGAGAGAAAGTTCTCTCATCATAGAGAACACAAATGAACATAGGAACTAGAACATTTAAAACAAGGCTTTCAATCCCCTCCACACATAAACAGGAACACAAATGGAGAAAGTTGATCAACAGAGGTTATAGCATTTGGAATAAAATCTTAGTTTTCTTCCTTTCTCTTATGATTATTTTTTTGTTAAAAGTTTCCTAGCTGAATCATGTGCCCATTTCTGCTTCTGTTCTCATGGCTCAGTACTTCTGCCTTATACACAGGACTACAAAATCGCAGAGAGGTGTTCCATTCACTGATGGTCTTACAGCCCAAGCTCCTCATTCAGGGCACTCGGGAGCGGTGGGAGCTAAGAACATCATTACAGAATCAGAGACTTGGGCTCAGGAAGGTTGAGGGACTCAAACAAGGTAATGCCGCTGGTGGGTACCAAGTGCAACTAACTCTCTTCTATCTTATCTTTCTACCACAATTCCTCAATAATTAAACAAAAAGTGAAGAAAATCAATCACAAAGATAGCAAGCAGATTAGATTAATAGTGCCAAACAATTACCTGGGGGGAGATTTCCTGAAAAGAAATGTCCTAGACACATTTCCCCAAAAAAATCCAGATTTCTAAAAATCTCTTCTGGTAATCAAAATTCAGCTAGGTTTTGGAAATAAATGACCCTGACAATCTACGAATATGCGAAGTTGCTAACTTCTTTCAAGCTACAGATGTTAGGAGTTTTTTGGGTTTTTTTTTTCCTCTCAATGAGCTCACCTAAAACAAACTCTGATTTTTAAATAAAACATAATTTTTGCCAATACCTGGTATGATATCTTTTAAAAACAAGGTAAAAATTTTCAGGTTGTCTAGGCTTAGACATTCTCTTCCATCAGAATGAAAAAGCAAGATCTAACCTGTGATTCAAAACAGTATTTGTCAGGCCAGATTTTACCAAAGCAATTTTGCATTACTAATCCCAGGTCCAACTTCTATTAATCTCATTTCTGTTTACTCAGTAGTTATGGGCACAGAGATATAGAGAGTCCAAAGTCCTGGACAAAAACCACTTTACTTCTCTCTTCCATGACCCTTGACTCCAGTCAGCCATCTTGAAAATCTGTTGTCCCTGACCATTGGGGGAGGCACGTGTAGGCTGATCCTGGAAACCATACCAAGGAAAGGGTCACCCAACACACTGTACTTGTGAATCCAAAAAGGCTTTGGTTCCAAGTATGTTTTTTTCCTCACTACAATACTTGGGATCACTGGATTCTCACATACCTTGAGGAGTTAACGGTGAACAGTCTACTTTTCCAAAGTAGGAAAAGGCAAAATTGCACATACTATTTATTTTGTATAAGAAACAGAAAACATTAAAACATTGATATACTGCCTTTTACTCTTCAAGGGAGGGGAGTTTATACCATTATCTCCTTTTATAGATAAAAGCTGAAACTGATGAGGCAGAAAGATAAAATAGTTTAAAGTAGCTTCCACCAGCTTCATGAAGAGCAAGACTCACTGTTCCTAGTATTTTCATGATTAAGAAAATCAATTTTTGCATATTTACTATATATAATTATATAAAGTTTTATACTTACACACAGACTATACATACAGATGAAACAGCTATGATGTAGGTTCCCACATAAGCACTTGGAAAAACCTACACTATTAACTGGACTTCACAAGAGTGGACAAGAAGTGGGTAATCATTCCTCCAGAAACTTAAAATGCCCAGATCCCACTGTCTCCAAAAGCCTACGGGGCAAGGGGCGGGGTGGGGGTAGGGAGGAAGGGATATTGCAAGGAAACAAAAAGAAGAAGAAAAGACAAAAGAATATAGGGCAGAGGCAAAACTCTTGTTACTCTGCTCCCAGAAGAGGTAAAGTATGATGGTCAACTCCAGAAACACTTCCTTTTAACCCCTACCGCTCACGAACTACTCCACTTTTTCCAAGATTGAGGTTTTGCTAATTCATCGTGAAACAAGAACGAGCGTCTACCTCCAGGATGGGAAGAAGGGGAGGCCCATAAAACACAGCATGGAACCTCATCGACTGATTCCACTCTCCATCCCTCAGGCCAGAAGGGACAGGACCTAGATCCCCAGATCTTAGATTTCTGACTGCTCATCAAAGGTTCCCATGGCAACGGTTCACTCCTGGAAAGTCCTGGGACGCCCGGCGCTGGGCAGGCCCAAGCGACTCGGAGGCGAGGAGCCAGGTAGACGTGCGCACTCACCTCGCGCGATCTCCCCGGTGCTTTGCAGTAGGGGGCACAGGCATTGTTGTCGCCACTGGCGACCAGACTGAGGCTCCGGCCACCCCGTGGGCAGACCCCAGCCTCGGATCCCGCCCCCGCCCCCCTAGCTGGTGGGCGTCCGCAGACGCGCGCCCTCCCGGTTCCTGCCAGCCCCTCTGCGGAGCCTCCCGTGGCCCGGCGGGGACTCCGGGGCCGTGGCCCTCGCTCACCGGCCGGGGGTTCGCGCAGGCTCAGGCGCACGTTCAGGTACTCCACCTCCGAGGCGGCGGCCGGGGCCGCGGCGCCCGGGCTCGGGCCCCAGGCGGCAATGGCTCGGCCGTGGGCCTCCAGGCGCAGTGCGCGCAGGGCCACCGGCTCGGCCGCTTCCAGCAGCACGTGTCCCGCCACCGTCTCGCCGCTCGAGTAGCAGCCCTTGCGCTCATCCTCGAACACCAGACCCAGGCTCTTTACGCGGCCCTCGGAGCCCACGGCCGCCGCGGACCCCGCCTCGCCGCCCATCCCGCCGGGCGATGGGGCCGCGCCAGGGAGGTCGGCAGCTGCCTGGAGCCGGCGTGGCAAGCACAGCAGCACCGCTGTCACGGGCGCCCCCCGCACGCCAAGGGCTGCCGCGGCAGCTCTGAGGTGCCCGGTGGAGCCCTGGAGCGCCTTGGGGCCTATCGCTTTAACAAACCCAGGTGGGACTGGACGGGGGCCGGGACAGCCCACCCCCGGCGCGCGCCCATAGGCCGGCTCTGAGCCCCGCCTCGTGCCGATTGGTTGTAAATGGCTATTGAGTCATTTCATAGGTGCTCCCACGCACCGGATGGCGCAGGTAGGCAGTGCGTGATCAGACAGTGGTGACCAATCCGGATACGCAGGCGTACACGTGCACAGGCCGCTTATTGGCTGGGGCAAGGCACAGTTTTCGGGCACTGACCAATAGTGAGGCGGTGCGCCCATGTGGACAGATAGTGGGAAACAATATTTGTTAGGGAGGGGGCGGAACCGGGAATCTCCGGCTCGCAGAGTGTCTGCCGTTCCCATGGTTACGAACGGGGGCGGGGTTTCTGGCAGCTTGGGGACTGTTTGCAGAAGCTACTGGGTTTGCACTGGTATATGAAGTTGTGACTGCAACTGGCTCGTATTTATGATTTAATCTGCAGTACTCGTGGGGGAAATAGATAACCTGGAAAATGGAACTCAGCAATAATTCGCCTGTGAGTTTTTTGGGTGGAGGTGGGGCAGCTGCCTCGAAACTTTAATGGATAACTTCGCAACTACTAACCTCCAGGTTCCCGAGCCGCGCCTTTCCGGGGTTTCGGAATTCCCAGCCTGAGAAAGAGCCGCAAACTGGAGGAATGAAGGCTGTGATTCTCAACCTGGTATGACCCCCCAAGGAGTTCTCCTGGACTCACAGCCTTTCTAAGCTGGGAATAGCCCAGAACACTGATTCTTCCTGTTGTAAACAAGGTCATGAATCAGGTTGTTTCTAAACAATATGTGCTACCCAAGTTTCTGCTCCACCGGAAAGGATTGCCTGACTTCGTGTCATAGTCAAGGAAGACTTAACAGTTGCCTTGATGACTTGTTCTCCACGCCCATGGCTCCTTTTGCCTGTCCTCGTTTTCGTTTTGTTCTTTAATATTCCATTCCTTATCTACTCTAATTTTTTTTTTTTTTTTACCATCTAGCGTAGCTGACCTTATCTGGCCATTTTCTAAACCTTTTAAGTTCTTCCCTTATTAAATTTCCAAGTTTGTGAGCTGTTATCGCAGATTGATCTCGTATTCAGATTTAAAACCTTTCCTGAAGTAGGTATTTCCTTTTTTTTTTTGTTTTTTTTTGTTTTGTTTTAAGGATCCCAAACGACAGGTTACTTTGCTGCCTTCTTTGAGTTTAAATTATTAACGTGGAACTTTACTAAAGCTTTGCAACTTCGAAGTTTATCACTTCTGAAAGAAAGTGGAAAGGGTCACAAATCTCTGCTTACGGTTCTGAAATAGCTGTTAGTTTCTCAGCACTTTATCTAGAGGAGTTCCCAACATGCTATTACTGGTCCACTTTTCTTTATAAAACAACCACACTTTATGTACTTACTTGCATATTATTCATCACTACCGTTTGAAGCACAGAACCTGTTCTCCTCATTGTTGTACCTGTAGTACCTAACACAGAGTTTAGGACACAGTTAGCACTCAATAATGTTGACTTGATTGAAGGAAGGAATCCCAACCCATACAGTTTTACTTGGCTTTGCAATAAATGAATAGTACTCTGCCTCTTACTCTACTAGATCTTCATCCTCTCCAGGCAGATGGTCTCTATCTCCCCACACCTTCCAAATTAGGTGGCTGAGAAAGGGGGAAGGCTAATGGCCCTAACCATGCCCAAAAGGCAGACTTGCACGTATGGCAGGCATTCTGTGCTGAGAAAGATCAGGCTCGCTTTGCTCATTTGTCAGTTAATGATACTTTTGAGTCCAGGTAGCAGAATGCATAGCCAAACATTGGCTTAAACAATAAGTGTATTTCTTGTTTACTTAACCAGAAGTAAGTCCAATGGCAGGTGCTATGAAGTTTGGTTCATCAGAGTCCTCTTACCTTTCTCCACTGCTGTACTCACTTCCCTTTCTGGTGGCAGTGGTTACCACAGCTCTAAGTATCCCAAAGCAGAATTTAAAAAATAAAGCAAGGGAGTCCATGTTCACTTAAAAAAAAAAAAAAAAAAGCGAGTTTTTTTTTTCTTCTCTTCCTCTCTCCTTTCAGAAAGAAAATACATTTCCTAGATGCCCCCAATAGACTTCTTACATGGTGTTGGTCAAAATGGACTCGTCTATGCACCCATAGGTCATTAACTGGCAAAAAGAAACGAGATTTTTACAATTCACTCAGACTGGTGATTTTTCTCTGGGGGCTAAACAAAATTGGAGCTCTGTTAGCAAATGGCTGTTGTGTGGTCAATCTAGAGCCATTCGACTGGTGTGAAGTGGGCCTGGCCATGTTTGCTATAGAGGAGAGCTGTGTCAGTCAAACCTTAAAAAAGGAGGATATTAAAACAAAAACTATTCTATGACTAGGTGGATGGTAATCTATATGGTGAACCACCTCATTCACAGATAAAATTCCATTTTTATTGTGTGTGCATTATTATGACTATTCGAGTTTTGCTACCATTAATATGGCAGAATATAGCATATTAAAAAATAAAAAATCCAATCTGACAGCCTCCATCATTTAATTGGTGCGTTTAGACCATTTACATATGATGTATCTTTGATATGTTTGGTTTTATGTGTATCTTTTTATTATTTGCTTGATTTGTGCCTCTGGGGGGTGTGTTTCTCTGTTCCCCTTTCCCTTTCCTGCTTTCTTTTTAATTATTTGAATATCTTTTAGTAACCTATTTAAATCTATCAATTTTCAGACTCTGTCTCTTTGTAGTATGTTTTAAGCAGTTTCTCTAAGGATTACTGTACCCCTTTGTGTCATAGTTGGTATATATATTACATCCACGTATATTGATAACTCCACTAGACAATGTTTACATTTTTGCTTCAGATAGTTATATATATTTTAAAGAATACAAGAGAAAAACAGTCTATTATAATTACCCATATATTTATCATTTCTGTTTTGCTTTTTTATTCTGAAGTTCTAAGTGCCCTCAGGAACATTCTATAGGGTTGAAGAATTTTCTTTAGCATTTGTTTTAGAGAAGGCCTGCTAGCAATAAATTCTCTTAAGTTTTCCTTCTTCTGAGAATGTTTTCATTTTGATGTCATTACTAAAGGATACATGTGCGGCATATAGAATCCCAATTTGGAAGTTCTTTTCTCTTCGCACTTGACAGATGTTGTTCCATTGTCTTCTGAGAACTTTGGTTTCTAGTGAGAAACCAAGCAGGCCTTCAAATCTTTGTTCCCATATATGTAATGGGCTATTTTTTTCTGTTTGCTTTCAATATTTTTTCTTTAGCTTTCATAAATTTGAATAGAATGTGGATGGGTTTGGTTTTCTCTGAGTTTATTTTGTGTGGAGTTCTTACAGCTGTATATTTATGTCTTTCACCAGATTTATGTTTTCTGCCATTATGTCTTCAGATTTTTTTCCCACACCAATCTCTTTCTCCCCTCCTTTTGGAACTTAAACATTAATATTAGATCTTTTTAAGAAGAAGATAGCAGGAGGGGAAAAATGAAGGGGAGTAAGTCGGAGGGGGAGACGAACCCTGAGAGACCGTGGACTCTGAAAAACAAACTGAGGGTTCTAGAGGGGAGGGGGGTGGGGGGATGGGTTAGCCTGGTGATGGGTATTAAAGAGGGCACATTCTGCGTGGAGCACTGGGTGTTATGCACAAACAATGAATCATGGAACACTACATCAAAAGCTAATGATGTAATGTATGCTGATTAACATAACAATAAAAAATTTTAAAAACATATTATATCTTTTTAATATTGTCCCATAGCAACTGGAGACTCTGAGGTTTCACTCTTTTTTTTCCTCTCTCTGTTGTAGAAATTGGGTAAAGTCTATTGGTCTGTTTGCAAGTTCACAGACTCTTTTCTCTGTCACCTTTATTGGGTTATTCAGATCATCCAGTGAATTTTTTAGTTATGATATTTTATGTTTCCATTCTAAAATACTCATTTAAAAAATAGTTTCTGTTTCCCTGATAAGAACATCTATCTTTCCATTCACAAAGAGTGTCTATCTTTATCTCTTTGAGCATGACTTTAATAATTGTTTAAAGATCTTTGAAAAAAAATTAATTCCTGAGTAATCTTGAGGTTGACATCTGACTGTCTCATCCTTGGAGAATCAATCACAATTCTCAGTTTTTCATATGTTTAGGAATTTTAGGTTATATCTTGATATTTTGAATATTGTTATATTAAAATCTTCTGGAGACGGGGGAGGGGGTCCCCGTCGGCCACTTCTGACAAGTGATAGAGCCACGGAGCACAAAATCAGAACTTTTAGAAGTCAGCTCCGCGGAGGGATGTCACTCCAGTGGCTAAGCGGGGGGTGGAACCCTCGCGGGACAGTGTGGTCTCAGGACCCTCGGGGTCACAGAAAGACCGGGGGTGCCTGAGTGCGGCAGAGCTCCGGGTATTGGAGCAGGGAAGCTGGCTGCAGAGACGGAGCCGAGGCGCGGGCTCTCAGCTCGGGGTTGCCATAAACTGTGATCCGCGGCCCAGTCGGGCC